CCCATGCATACTTGCCTGGAGTGCTGTTCAAGTCACTGGGGCCATGATTCAAACCAAGGTCAGCCATATTGGATCCAGCTTCCTTAACCACTAGATTTACGGGGCCAACACAAGAAAACATTTTTATTTTATTTTATTTTTTTGCCTTCTATGAGTGTGCTTATCAGAGAGAGAGAGAGAGAGAGAGAGAGAGAGAGAGCCAGAAGGTGAGAAAGCACCCCCAGGAGAGATGGTCACACTACAATCCCTAGTCCTCCATTCTCCTCTCACGATTTTGGGCACTCATGCACACATACCTGACTTGTTTTTCAAACCACTGAGTCCAGGACTCAAACCACACAGCCAACCATGTAGGATCCAGTTGCTGTAGTCACCATGTCCTCTGGCTGGCCCTAAAGAAACAGTTTTTAAAAGAATTGTAGGAGTGATATTTTTACTTGAGAATGGGTTGAGGTTGGACTTTGTTGCAGTTAAGGCAGAGGTCCCAAAGCCCGGGCATGGACTGCTGCCGTCTGTGGCTTGTTGCCGCCCCCTACCTTTTGGGCCATATAGTGGGGTGTGGGTGCCAGGTGAGCTTGGCATGGGAGGCTTCATGCGTGTTTGCAGACGTTCGCATTGTTCCCTGGGCTTGGCCACCTGCCGGATCAGTGGTGGCACTGGGTTCTCAGGAGAGTGTGAGCTGTTGTGTGATGTCGCTGTGTATTGCAGTGCAGTAGTGGCAGAAACGGAGTGCACAGTGGATGTGGTGTGCTTGGGTCATCCCAAGACCAACCACTCCCACCTCCCTAACCGCACAACCCCCAGTCCCAAGAAAGATTGTCTTCTTCAAGGCCGGTCCCTGGTACAGGAAGGCTGGGGACCACTGTGTTAAGGGACACATGTGTCTGGGGTTGGAAAAGGGGTGTCATCAATTGTTCACATTATTGATTCCAGTGCACAGGAAATGGGCTTCATTTTCTATGCTACAGTAGCTTTCCACCTTGTAGAATGGGAGGGGCGCCCTGCGTGTGCCAATGTCCGCACTCCACGTCTTCTGGAGGACTCTGGGTTGGGTTCCCTCTCCATCCTGCTCTGCTCCCAGATAACACCTGGGGGCTTTGGGGCCCGATGCTGGTTAAGAGAGGGGTTCCTGAACCCTTACTGTTCTCTGCAAGAGGGGCCAGCTGGCCTGGCCTGGCCTCTGGAAGGTGAACATGGAGGTGTGGTTGGTCTATTTTGGCCTTCTCTTCTCTCCTCTCCTCTCCTCTCCTCTCCTCTCCTCTCTTCTCTTCTCTTCTCTTCTCTCTTCCCTTTCCTTTCCTTCCTCTCCTCTTCTTTCTTTTCTTTGCTTTTCTTTTCTCTTTTCTTTCTTTTCCTTTCCTTTTCTTCTTTTTCTCTCTTCTTTCTTTTCTTTTCTTTTCTTTTCTTTTCTTTTCTTTTCTTTTCTTTTCTTTTCTTTTCTTTTTTTTTTTTTTCTTTTCTTTCCTTGCCTTGCCTTGCCTTGCCTTGCCTTGGCTTGGCTTCCCTTCCCTTTTTTGTTTTCTTTTTCTTTTTCTTTTTTTCGGTTTTGTTATAGGGTGTGTGAACTTGCCAGAGAGGGAAAGTGACAGAGAGGGAAAGTGAGAAATCACCGCCCAGGGAAGATGGCCACACCAAAATGCCTTCTCCATTCTCTTCTCAGGATTTTGGGCATGCACGCACATGATTCTCAAGCCGCCGGTTCTAGAACTGGAACTGGCAAAGCTGGCCATGTGGGATCCAGCACTTTAACCTCCACGCCACCTGCTGGCCCCCCTTTTGGCCCTTTTGGGAGCCATGATGGTCAAAGGGCTGTTTCATGCTACAGTAGCTTTCCACCTTGTAGAATGGGAGGGGCGCCCTGCGTGTGCCAATGTCCGCACTCCACGTCTTCTGGAGGACTCTGGGTTGGGTTCCCTCTCCATCCTGCTCTGCTCCCAGATAACACCTGGGGGCTTTGGAGCCTGATGCTGGGGGCCTTCCTCAGGCCTCAGACAGTCCACCGGGCCTAGGGCATGCAGGGATTGGGTGTTGCTTCAGGCTCAGCTGTCCAGCCACCTTCCTCCAAGGTCGCCCTGTAGAAATCAGGATTTCTGAGGGGCTGGCAGTGCTCAGGCCTCTGTTTAATGATCTTGAGGTTGTTACATCTCCCCCTTCCTGTGGCCCAGCCAGCAGAGCAGGGTGGGGACACCAGGGTAAGAACCTAGTGAATGACCTCCTTGTCCTCCATCTCCTTCCTTTTCTCCACTTGATGGGCTGGAGGGAACTAGCCTTCTACTTCTCTCTTTTTACCACAGACATCCCTGTTAAAATTTTCTCCTGTGTGTACACACCTCACAACTCAGCCTCAGTGGCCAAAGGGATATTTGTCTGAACTGGAATAAACCCCAGATCTAGGCAACAAGGCCTGCTTCCTCAGATGTTACCGGGGCTACGTGAATTTGGGAAGTTCTCTTGTATCTCCATAAATCTCTAATACTGGCCTCTAATACTGGTTTTTTAATTGTCAGGAATGTGTACTTGCCAGAGAGAGAGAGAGAAAGTATCCCCCATGGGGCATGGTCATCCTGCAGTCCCTTCTCCATTTCTCCATCCTGTTGATATTTTGGGCACACATGCACATGTGTCCAGCATATTTTTTAAGCTACTGGGGCTGGGATTTGAACTGCAGTCAGCCAGGTTGGATCAGCTCCCTTAACCCTCAGCCATGGGGCTAGCTCACTTCCAGTGTTATTGATTACGCTTTCCAAAGATGTCCTTTTTCTCGGTGTAAACCTGTGACTATCCTAAGCCACCTTGAAACAGTGGGAGGAAAGGTCACAGACAAGAGACAGCACAACAAGGACAAGTTCCAGTGTCATCTTCATGGACACAGGCCAGGCTTCCCAGGAGAAGGCCTGGGCGTCATGGTGACCTTTGGCTCTCTGAGGACCTGTCCGACCTCTCTCCTGCTCTGCTCATACAACTCTCCCCTTTGCCCATGCCACGTGCCCCACTGACACCCGGTGTGGTCTTTGTCCCTGGACCACACCGGGTCTCGCCTGTGTCAGGGTCTTTCTGAGCCGCCATTCCCTTTGCCTGGGCTGCTCTCCTGCCAGCTGCTCATGGACCACACGCTTCCTCTCAGTCCTTCATTTATGATCACGTTTTATTGAGCCCTTACTAATGATCAGGAACCATGCTAGGCACTGGGGACTCAGTGAACAAGAGGAGCTTATGACTTAGACAGAAGGGACGGTGTAGCCTCTGGGTGAGTGTGAGCGTTCTTCAAGTCCAGGAAAGAGT